GGCCCTTCTTTCTCATTTGAGAAAGGCAATATCTGAATACGTTATTTACCAAGTGGAGTCTGGAGCACATTGCATACAAATATTCGATTCATGGGGTGGCCAACTACCACCTGATATGTGGGAGAAATGGTCAAATCCCTACATAACAGAGGTAATTTGGAACTTAGTTGATTGGACAAAGCATCATTTGCCTTACTGAATCATTCTCACCTCATTGCTCCGAAATTGCAGAGCAAATTATTTGTGTCCTCAAGCTAATTAAACTATAACAATTGGTATAAGGTGAAAGAAAATCATATTTCATTAAAATGAGGGAATGACTAAAAAGTAAATTACTATTTGATATAAAAGTGCAAGGGTGAGTGGTGTCATCAATGAAAGTTAAATTTTAATTCTTTGACTTCAAAAAATGTTTGCTCTGACCTGAACATTATTTGGCTTTTTAACCGGCAAAGCCATATGAAGTTATGAATTTTGAAAATTCATTTATTTGAAGGAAGAACTCTACTTTTTTAAATTATATAGAAAAAGGAGGAGAGAGACATTTGATGAGACTCTTCTATTACCTGTTACTACTAGCAATCAACTCCTATTAAGTGGTTTGAGAAAAAATTTCCTTGGATAACATGTTTCTGTACCTTTTAATGTCTCTCTTATACTCATTGGATTCTCATTGGATTCGTGAAATTGCAGATTGTTAGCACAGTACGGAATAAATGCCCTAGAACACCCCTTGTTCTGTACATTAACGGAAACGGAGGGCTTCTTGAGCACATGAAAGGAACTGGGGTTGATGTGATTGGACTTGACTGGACAGTGGATATGGCTGATGGACGGAAGCGGCTGGGTTGTGATATCAGCGTGCAGGGACATGTCGACCCTGCTTACTTATTTTCTTCACTTCCTGCAGGAGGATTCAAAGGTTTGTCATATCAATTGACTTGTCCTTATTATTTGTCTAACTCTTATATTGTTGTTTGTTTGTTGCTAATATTGTAATGGGCACACATACAAGGCCACTTTACTTATGTAAGATCGTTCAGTAGATTATTTAAAATCATGGAGCAGGTGGCAAGTATGGCATCTTTATTCCTTGTATAGTAGTTGAAATGGGTCATAAAAGATTCCTTTAGATCTTGAAGTTCTGTTTCCAAGTTAAATACAACTTAAAATACGCTTCTAATTGGTCCAGTAGTTTAAACTGCTGCATTATATTTTCAGGGTTGTCAAGTGTGCAGGACCACGTGGGCACATTCTTAATTTGGGTCATGGCGTTCTAGTCGGGACTCCTGAAGAGGCCGTTGCACATTTCTTTGATGTCACAAAAAGCTTGAAGTATGACAGTTCATCTCAAATCAAGCCATGGAGGAATCTAAATTGTTAGTTTGAGAACATATGATTAAGCGAAATCCTGAGATTTTGCTATGAACTGGCCTTAATGGTTTAATTCAAATCTTATCCCTGCATCACAACCTCATGATGTTAAATCAACTTACATTTTCTTAAAGGGGAATGGAGTTTGGCTCTTGTAAATGCTTGTGGATAAGCAGGTTAGGTGTATTCATTGTTTATGCATATAGTTGTTAGCAATAGTAGGATTTTGCTTCAGGTTTTTCTTTCTTTTTTTTCATGTCGTCAACTTTTTATTTGTATCTAGGATATGATCGAGCCAGGTGAAGTTTCCACTTTATGTTCGAGTTTATCGATTCTTATGGATCTTAATATCATTTTGTTTCCCTATTATTCCTCTATCACTCCCTCCCTCCTTCCACCCCTCAAGGCCAATAAGTACATGCAACAAAAGAAGACCTAGCTCTATTTTCTTTTCTAACTTTTCTTTTCCGATTGTGTCTTGCTTTAGTAAATGCAACAAGAGGGAAGATCTAGCTCCATTTTTAACATATTTATAGTGTCATCGTCACTGTCTGTAGATACAGAGAACTATTAGTTTACTTCTCTTTATTGCAGATTTTGCTTTCTGAGAATATTTGAGCTGAGGCCTACCTGCAAAGGGGAACGAATATAGGTAGCAATGGTTTTTTCTTCCCTACTTTGAAATTTCCTTTCGTGATGCGGATTTGCTCGGATGTTGCTAGTGAGCAACGAGTTTTAAATGGTGATTTATAGGTCATTCGGAGTTGGTCCTGAAATGGTCTCCACTTTTGACATCAACCCTGCTTTATTTAACCAGAAGGCAAGAATTCCTCAATTTCAACAACCTTTGAGCAGAAGATGCCACTCCCACTTTTTTTTCTATCTACTCTGCAACTATCATTGTTGATTGTAGAGATATCCATTAGCTAGTTGTTGTGGTTGTGCATTAGGGTCTGCTCTAAAAGACTCACTTTCAAATCTCTAAGTTGAAAATTATTCTCTCATTTTATGTTCGATTAGATGGCGATATATGTCATCGTCTTATAAGAGAGTTGCATCCTGACTCAGATGTCATTAGCGGATTTAACAGTAGTAACTAAAAGAAATTCTTTTAACAATGATGACTTGATTAATAACTTCCAAAAGTTAAATGACTTAATAGCAAAGATTTTTTTGAGTGACTAAATTGATAACATCCTAAAAATTGGTTAATGGGGTGAAACTCATGGTCGATGCCAGTTCTACTGAGGCAGCGAAAGCATAAGCTATATGTATCCAAGAAACTTTTTTTTCCTCTTCGGAGGCGGAGATGGAACAATTTCTCTAAGTCTGATTGTAAGGAATTTATCGGTAAAGTCGAATTCGAGTTCTCCTTCAAGCGTCGGTCTACTAATCCGATCGAGGGGAACACCATCGGTCGCTTGGCTTGTGGTGACCACGGAAATCTACATTCACTAAAATCTGATTAAAGTATTGATTTGAAACCTGGTAAAACTTTAAGAATCCTTCAAGAAAACCTGCCATGAGACCAGGACAAAAGGTGGGGTCTTAAGAAAAGAAGAGAGAAAGGAGGCAAATGCATGCTTCTTACCTATTTGTTTTAGGTTACATGGAAATGGTGTTAGGGTCTTTCAACTTGCTTGGAAAAGAAAGAAAATGCTAAGGTTGAAATGACTACATTATTAAAAGGGTATTTAATGTATCGTTTTTCTTGATCAAATCATAACTTTTTTATCTGTTGATCATAAAGAGAATCTACAAACGATAAAAAGATAATATAAATTTCTTTTAAATAAAAATTTCAAATCCGAATCTAACTATAGAACTTTAATTAACTTTTTTAATATATAAAGTTTAAATTACATATTTCTCCTCACTTATAAATCGAAGGATATTCCACACTTAAACACGCTCCAACTCATATCTTATATATTGCACCAATTTTAACCAAGCTAAAACTCGTTCAAACCTTAAATAACAATGAATCGACTAATAAAACAAGAATTTTAGTAATCCTATATGTCTATCAAACATACCGTTAACCATTATGATGTTCACCCATTAGCCTACAATGATTCTATCTATATATGCCTTTGCATTTACTTTCAAGCTTAAATGATGCAAAATATCTGCAACATGCCACTGAAAAACATATATGGATACAAGAAAAATACAAAGAAAAAACGACTAAAGTGTTGCATTTCATTGTAATGGAGTATTTGAGTTTTGAAAATAACATGAAACCAATACTCAATCCCTTTTCCTGCCCCCCCCCCCCATCTTTATGATACTTGTCTAATCGCCTGTTTGATGGAACATTATGGAGAAAAAATGTAAGCCAAGTTGAAAGTGTACGCTGTCAATGTTATATTGGATGTCGCATATAATTCATACATGCATACATACATACATATCACGTTACTTCAGTAAATTCATGAAGAAATGGCTACAGAATAAAGGGTCATTAGTGTTATGAATGCCCCCACTTAATGCAAAGGCATTGGCTAAAAAATGGTGCTATAATAACTGTAAAGGTATATCTATCTGGAAAGTGTAAACTGCAGTCTAGTAATCAAGATAAACTTCATCATCTTCCTAGTACAATCTGATCGACATCTAATGTTAGTGGTTGTGCTATTGAACAACTACAATGGCTCTTGAAGTACATGAGAAAGAACTTGGAAGAGAATTCAAAGTTTAACTCGATTCATGAGGATAAGTAATGGGACAACTCTATGTGGCTATATTTTCTACAATTTCAAACTTTGGAGTTTTGGCCCCTCAATGTATATCAGTATCTCCTGGTTCCAAGGAAATTGTTTTTCAAGCAAACCATTATATATATTCAATATAATGATTTCAGTATATATATATATTCCAAATGGGAGGGGAACTCCAACCCCCTAGAGAGTAGCATAAGCATTACAAAAACTACATGAAGTAAGCTTGATTAGGGAAAAGGTTATTTGGTTGAATATATCAGAAAATTTGACCATTTTTCATTGGAAGTTAAACAGAATTGCAGATAACCAGCTAGTTAGGGGACTTGAAAAAGATGGATTTTGCATTGCAAAAGCTCAAAAAGGTGGGAATTAGGAGAAATTATATCCTTGAGTGGAAGAAGGAAGGTTAATGACAGTAATTACTAACTTATGTAATATTTATTTAACCTTGAAGAGGGATCCAATGATGTTACTGTATAAATCAAAGAACATTATGAAGATGTGGGACAAGATAATATTTTAAGTGGGGAATGAAAAAAAAATATGAAATGGGAAGAATCATAAAAGGGGGTCTCCTTATATTATTATGACTGTCATTACATATAATTGTATTATAATACTAATGTTTATGGTAATATCCTCATAGTACTAAACGTTGAAGAAGATCCCATATGATAGTTCATATAGAATTATGAAAATAAAATAATATACAAAACTTTTAACAGTTGAAGTAAAAAATCATTAACGTCATTTGCATCACCAATATACATATACCTGGAGAACAATAGTTCATGGAACATACTTGATTGCATTTGACAAAATACTACTGATTATCTAACTTGAAAAAGAAGAATAAGAAAGAGCAACTTACCATCTTCAACTCCAGTTTATATGAATATATATATATAGGCAGTGCTGATGAACTAGCTAGCTATTTACCTATATCTTGATCCAAGGAGGAAATGATGGCTGATTTCCCAGTAAGATGGAGCTTTAGCATGATGATGTAGTAGTACTAGTAGCAAACTGATTCAAGCTCTTGGAATTTTATTTTAGGACCCTGAAATAATAATAAAAAGAAATTATTTTGGCATAATTATGATGTTTTTGCATTTTTCATACTGCTTGGACTCTAATATTAGTACCAAAGCATTTGTGGATTATATAAAAATAGGGAGAAACAATTAGCACTTTTCTAATACAGACAAAAGGAAATCTGATTCTCTGGTTGATTTCAAATAGAACTATCACCAAAGAAAAGGACATTCACATAATGGCAAGTTAATATTATTATAAATCCAATATATTTTAATCTATTGTAATTTATAAAATATTGAGTGTAGGATATCTTAGTGATAGCTTATGTTATCTGCAGCAAAAGAACAAAGACGATGAACAAGCATTTTGGGTTTATCCTAATGTCATGAAATCTTCAATCCTGATATTTTCTTAAGATTTTAAAGAATATATATATATATATAAAGTGTTTTGGCCTTTAATGGAGAGCACAAGTGCAGAACCCTAAACGAGCATGGACTCAATAGAGTAAAAACAAAGCTTGAAAATGGGAAATATATTATATTTACAAAAACCATTAAAATTACTAAGATTTTTGCGTGTGAGAGAGAGAGAAGAAGAAGAGCTTTGTATGTGTTCATAGCAAATCAATGTCTGTTGTTGATATTAAGGTAAAGTTTCTAAGTACTGTTGTTAAGTTTTGTCGTTATTAAAGTAAACGAAGATACAAATTAGGGTTTTGAAACTCTAGGGTTTATCTTCAATGGAGAAAAAATTCAAAATGTTTGACCTAAATGTTCAGGTTTTGTACAGGCTTTGAATATCAAAAAGAACTGTTCTTCTTCCTAAGGTAATAGATTTATTAACTAAGCAATAAAAGCTTACTTAATCTATTGATTATAGTAAAATTCAATTATTTTCCATGAATAAGTCAAAGTTTGTTGTTTTGGATATCAGAACTTGTATTGTTAATTAAGACTTTTAACGAAGAAAAATAAGTAAAATAATTACATACCATAAGAGAATCAAGGCTGCTGAATTTGGAAGCTTGAGCTAACTTCATTAGTTTTCAATGGATTTCTCTTCTTCTTCTTCTTCTTGTAAGGAATCCCCCGAGCTTTAGCCTGGGAATCCCTCACTTCACGAAGGTAAATCCTTATAGCACCGCTGGCAAAAGGATTGGTCTCAGGCAACCCGCCATTCTCTTCATAAGCGGCCCGGAGTCGACCAATGAGAGCATCGAGGCTACCCCAAGCTTGTCTGAGAGGGCACGTACACGGCCCCGGCGGCTCCGGTTGCCCAAAGAACACGCAACCTTGTAAGTGCACCTTGGTCTTGCCGAATTGGTCTAGGTAACGAAGGAATTCGAGGACATGATTGGCGTTACACTGCGAAAGCGCCACCGGTGGTCTTTGGTTTCTTAAGTACTGTCCGAAAGTGTTCCAGTCCCGTCGCTTCTGCGACACGTACCGGCTCAACGGCGGCGGATTCCGCTGATCACCAACACCAGCAACAGTAGCTGGTATTGAAGAACCTTCAGCTATTTCCTTCCCTTTGTTGATTGACATCATTGTGTTCACCTAATCAAAGAAGAAAGGGTGAAAACAAAAGAAAAAAAAATTGCAGAGAAGATAGAGGAAGATGAAGATCACACCAATGGGAGCTAAATTGAGAGGACAAGTAATGGGACCATTGAAAGTGCTTTAGTTCTTATTTTTCTTCCTTTAATCGTACAATTAGCATTAACTATATTTTTTTATAGATTTATAATTATGCTTCCATCATCCACGCAATCATTATAGGTTACATTAGTCTAATTACCACTAAGTTTTAACATTTCTCACCTAGGTTAATTTTTTTTTACTGTGATTTAAACACTAGTTGCAGTCAACCATTTTTCCAATTCGGGACTTCACCAAAACTAATTTGGACAACATGGAATCTATTAATCTTAGAGAATATAGGATCATAAGACGAGAAAAGATTGTATTATAAGATAGTATCTATTTAAAAAAAATTAGTTATTGATAACGTTCATACACCTTACAAACACATTTACTTAAATAGCAGTTCACTAGGAATAACTTAATTTTAAATCTAAATAAAGACATAGATCTAAACTCAAGCACATGTGCAAACCACGTTATTCACACCCAGATCGTCAAAGAGAAAAAGATTTCCTTAACCACCAATACCCACAACCTAAGAGAGAGAAATGTCAATTAAAAACTTTTAAACACTTATTTTATAGGTTGTTGTTTCATTTATTATTTTTTGAATAGCTATCATTTATTAATTTTTTTTATTGATATGTGATAAGTATAAAATAATATATGTTCAAATATAATCTTCAACCATTTGATATTGAACGTTTGTACTTTTGACATTGCTGGTGCTCGAACTCGAAATCTTAAAGAATAACAATAATTTTTTTACTATTGATGTCACTTGAATCCGTGTTATCATTCATTAATTATATATACTGATTTTAGATTTGATATACAAAGTAAGGATTAAATTAATACTCTTTAATCCATGTTGTATTTTGAATATTGGCAGCCCCTTTTTTGTATTTAATAATTTACTCGTTCATATCAATTTATTTCAGATAACTTCAATAATTAGAATTTTGATCACCATTGTTTCATTAATATTTTTATTATTATTAGGATAAACTACATTCATGACCAATTAATTATAAGGAGTTTCAATTTGATCATTGATCTTTCACTGTCGATAAATACAGCATAAAATAAACTAAAAAAAGATCACCTATCCTTGTTTTTAACAGTTTGATTTTCACTGTCGTTGATGGGTTAGGCGCAAAATTACAGTGCATTTTCCAGATGAGCTGGTTGACCCTGAAATTGATTTTCCGTTTACTATAATGAGCAGTGATGGGGTAACATACAAATCCAATACAAAAAACCCATGAACAATGGCCGAGTCTCCGCCACGTTTCGGGCCTTCGATGGAGGATTTCATGGTGTTTTGAGGATTGGTCAGTTACTGCAACAATTTCACTTTGAATATGGAAGTCGCCACCACCATCAACACTGTCTCTCACTGCTCTTACTGCACTTTACTCTTATATAATAATATTATATTGTTTCCTTTGTGGGTTTTCCTTATACTTTAATTCTTTTTTATTTTTTTGTGTAATTTGACATTTGGATGCTTAATAGGAAACCTGCAAAATATGAGTAAGGTAGAAGAGGAAGATAGGAGAAAGCCATACCAGAATGAAGTTAAAGGGTTAGTTATTTATGACTGATTTTCGATTAATCCAGATTAAGTATTGTAAAGGTAAAATATCACCCTCCTAATCCAATTTATCTCGTTCGCAAACATTAAATTTTAAATTTCTAATCTTACTAAATGAATATAATATCACATTCTATTATACCAGCTCATTGTTACTCAATTATTGAATACTTTAAAGTAATGTTATTTTGTAGGATATAAAATAAAACTTTTTATTCATTTCAATTTTTTTCTCTCTAGATCAGCATGTTTCCAACGAAGATCGTGATGGTTGTCAACGAAGGTGGTCAATGTTCTATAAAATGCAACTTTTAACTTCTTTTTTCTCCCTAATGCTCCGTTTAGTTAGTTGATCAAATTAATTAAATTTTTAGTCGGTGATTAAAATATTTTAATTAATTAAATTTGTTTGAAGAAAACAAAGTTTTAATTAATTTGATTAGAATACTATTTTAATCAAATTTGCCGAAGAAAACAAAATCTATTGCATTAAACTCAAATTCTGTAGCCCATTAAAATATTAGCCCAAATAATGTAATCATGCATGGACCCAACGGTGAATATTCCATTGGCCCAATTAGTGGAAAGCAAAAAGATAAGCCGAATTTGTTATCCCTTTTATCCCCCGAGTTATCATAAGTAGAGTAGTAAGGATTTATATATATATAAAAACTGTTACTAATATGAGAAAGCATAAGGGTAAAACGCACAAATACATCTCTTTTCGTCACCTACTAAATTACCCAGTAAATGGTTAAATCTACTTTGAGTACTTAATGTATCCTACAGATGTAGCATTAACATCTTTGATCAATGTCCCAAGAACAGGTGCTGTCAAGCACTTTGATGTATCTTCCTTGTAAATGAACCCCAGACATTTGCAATCTTTGCTACATTTATCCCGGCATTGCTCGACTTTCATCGGACCTTCGCCGTCGTCCAAATACGTGTTCAAAAAATGTTCCACTCCTATAATTTTGTAGTAATCGACCTTAGCTCCGCTCCGACAAGGTACCGGCTTCGGTGGTTTACAACTTTCGCTCCATCCCAATAGTCCCTTCGGACTCGGACAAGCGACGCACATTCTCTTATCGCATAATCCGAAAGCACCGCATTTCGATGGCAAAGCACATTCCCTAACGAAATAACTTGAGAAGAAGGCAAAGCTCTCATCCCATTTTAGGTAACTCACTTTGTCATAATAAGTGAAAGCCCTTAGGTTCCCGTCGGATCCGAGTCTCAGGAAAGAAATTGTGGCGTTGTAGTTGAGTTTATTGAGGTTGTATGTGTTGCCTCCACCTATCGGACGAACTTGTAGAAGTCGTCGACCGATGCCCGTCGTAGAAGTAGTGCTCTGATTAGCCTGTTGATGTATCAACACTAACTCGTAAGCTGTTGCGTTTTCATTTTCAGGCACAGCGTCAAATGTCACAATGTCTCCGAAATCTTTTATTGGCCAACCCCCATAAATAAGTTGCCGACCGGAGTTATTTAAATACATAATGAACCCATTACGGTCTAGTACAATACTATATGGCCCGTCGGAGCCGTCAACATCGGACGTTCGGCTAACGAGCTTGTTTCTACCGTTGATACTAACTGATTGACCCACTAACAAAGTATCAGTCGGGTGATCGAAACTCTGCCAAACAAATTTCCCATTTTTATCATACAGTACCAAGTTACCATTGGGTAGTAGCCTAATCCCCGTGACACCTTTGTTAGCCGTTTTGGTTTGCCAAACGACACGACCGTCCACGTCCGCCAGCACCAAATTGCCGTCCTCGCCGAAGGTAAGCGTGGCGTTTTCACGAACGGGATCATTGCGGTTAGCATCCCACACCCACCTCATCAGGCTTTCGTCTCTGGGGAGGCCGGCTCGAATGGCGAAAATGTGAGCATCAGGAGTGGTATTATAGAAGCAGAGGCGAAAAGGGAAGGTGAGGAAGGAGTCAACGTCAGTCTCGATTATTCGATAGCTAGCATCGTATTCGATAATCCGATCACCGAACTCGCCTTGGTTGACGAATCTGAAGGTTTGGTTTGCAGGGACTTTGGCTAGAGTAGTAGTAGTAGTAGTAGCAAAGGCGAAAAAGGGAATGAGAAGGAATTGAAAGAAAAGTGGAGATATTTGAGAAGCCATTAATGCTCAGTGCTTGTGAATGAACTTGCCTGGGATTGAACAGGTACATATAAGCGGAGGATTGAATGTGGCATTCAATGTCAAAATAATCAAGCTTTGGTTTTATGGTTATTTCGTCAAAGACGTGGCACTTGATCGTAGTACGTCATTATCAAATCCTGCCAGCTGAAGTGTTCAGGGAAAACACTGTTTTTCGTTTGAACTTAATTAAATGCATGAAGTGTTTAGTTAGAAGTGGTTTTTCGTTTAAACTTGATTAAATACATAGTAAATAACATCAAATACCACTAAATTTTAGTATTTATGTCATTTCATTATTTAATTTTAATTATAATATTAAATCATTAATTTTTTAATAGTGGAATGACCGACATAGTAATTCGATGTTGATGTGAAAGTCAAAAAATTATTATTTCTTGTATTGTTTCTTACTGACTTTTTTATCAATTTTTTTTAATCTTGACTCATTATTATTTAGAATTTATTATTTATAAATATATAAAAAAATAAATTTAAAAATTTTAAATCAAATAGTTTTTTAATATATTTTATAAATTAAATTATTTAAAATGTTTAAAATAATCATGATCAAAACTTAAAAATTATGACTTTTAAAATAAGGGACGCATTTAATGGGATGGATGGATTATCATTTATTCCACTTCATCAAAATTTGAGTTTTTACTCATTTTTAACCTCTTCCACATCTTTTACAATCACACTAAATGCTAATATACTTGTCTGATTATTTTCTACCATTTTATCAGTTTAAATTTTTCAAAACTTTTTTAAAATTCACAAAATTAAACACGCAAAAAATATTATTTTTGGGGGTTTTGACGTCTATTCAAAAATTCAAATGGGAAGAAGCTTTTCTTTGAAAGACAAATAACAAACATCGAATCTAGCATCATCAGACGACCATTGAAGTAGATCGGAGTATTAACTTGTCAAATCATTATACGGAGGTTTAATAAAATTATGAAATTTGTTTTCTTCGTTGTTCGACTTATGTTTTAGTTAAAATCAAACCTGCCTTTTATTTCATATGTCGGTAAGGAAACAAGAATTGTGTGGATGCTACTTGGAAATCTTATGAAAACGTGGCAAAGGGCCATAACAATCACATGGCTAATTTCATGAAATACGTGGTAGCAGAAATCAATAATTACCAGCTTGAGGAGATTGAAGCAGCAGCCAGCAAGGTAAACAAGAGAAAGTTTTAGTAAGGCAAGCAAGTGATGATCAACAATGATGTGGCACGAGTGCAGCAGCTCTCATGAAGGACAGGTGAGTAGCAATATTAACGTGTATGGCAACAGTAACATAACAGTAAATTGATGATGAATGGTAACATTTGGCAGCATCATGAAAGCTTAAATGTAATAACGAACAGTCCTCTTGTTTTGATCCTTTGCGTGCAAATTCTTCACGTACTTTTTTAATGATTAAGGTTTAATTTTGGTTTTAGTCCCTCAATTATTTGGGATCACAAAGCATGTGCCATTGAAGCAACATATGGTCCACCAAATTGAAAATCTGTCCAATTTTATCTTCGATTTGCTGTATTCGGCTGAGAAATTTAATATTTGCACCAACCAATAAAGATATTATACACCCCAATATAAGCACGCATTTTTTGGATAAGTCGAAATTTTATTATCCAAGAACAATGTTTGCTACAAAAAATCACCGATCTCAGGAAACAGAAAGAAAAAACAGGCTAAAACAGAATGAACGATCGGTATTTAGTCAATACCCCAGGCAATACAAAGACTGGAGTTTACATCATCAAGCCTATTAATATTTTTCCCCTAAGTTTAATACGTACAAGATCTTTGATGGTGCTAAGTATTTCTTCAATGCTTCGAGAGCATCCTTTGAAGATTTTTCGGTTGCGTTCCTCCCACAAAACGTAGATGGTGGCGTTCCAAGCAAGTTTGAGAATAGTGACTAGTAGTGATTTACCTTTCCAAGTTTTGCTTGCCCAAGTAATCATATTCTCCCAAGATAAGACAGTCTTGTGAATTCCATTAAGGTGAAAAATCTGCTCTCGTAAATGAGAGGCAGTCTTGCAGTCGAAGAACAGGTGGTTTCGGGTTTCCAATGTCTCATTACAGAAACTGCAGCTTCCATTAGAAACAATGCCTATGCGTTGAAGGCGATCTCGAGTAGGCAACCTATCGATCATTGCCATCCAAGCTATCATACTGTGCTTAGGAATGTTCTGTGGGAACCAAATTAGAGATTGCCAAGGAACTTTATCCCCCTTCGTTCGAATCTCTTGCCAAATTAACCTTATCGATGGTGTTCCATTTTGAAGGATTGGATGGGCTTCAGTTCGTAACTTAAGTAATTTGTTGATGCCCTAGCTCATTGTTGAACCTGCTTCCATTTGCCAAAAGTCCTTGCCCTTTAGAACATAAGCATTTATCCATGCTACCCATAAAGACCCCTCATTTGCAAGGATATTCTTTATGAGTTTGATCATACATGCTCGGTTCCACTCTTTTAAATTTTTCAGACCAATGCCGCCCTCGGATTTCTGCTTGCAGATATTGTTCCAGTTTACTCTCGCACCAGTTGCTGTTTTGTCAGAACCTTTCTAAAAGAATCGATAGCATAGCTCTTCAATTTTGCTGATTACAGAATGTGGTAGCAGAAGTTGCCTGCACCAATAATTAGCAATGTTGAACAGCACTGCTCTGATAAGCTCCAATCTTCTTGCATAGCTAAGTTGTTTACTGGACCAGAGAGAGAGCTTTAACTTGATGCTGTTAATAAGAGGTTCACCGTCCTTAACCGAGAGTTTTCTTGAAGTTAATGGGACTCCAAGATATCTAACAGGCAGAGAACCCAGATGGAATCCAGTAGCATTTTTGATAAGATATAAGCATGCATTTGGTCTTCACATACCATATTCTTTTAAAATGTTGTTGTATTATTTCAAAATATATAATTTAATTTGTAGATTTTAATTATATTATTGATTTTTATACTATTTTTATATCATTAAAAGATTAATTGTATCAACCGAAGTAAAATTTAACAACTAATATTTGCATCATTAATCATTACACACATATGAACTGTAACACCCCCAACCCATACCCGACCCGGATATGAGTCAGAGATACTACATTGACTTTAAAACACAACTCTTAATAAATAATAATAAAATATTTGAACTTATATTAAGAAAATACAATAATATACATACTGTAATATAAGTTTACCAAAATATTCAGAGCATACACAACTTAACCCTTTAATTACATGCCAACTGCTATTTACATAACAAAATGACCTACTGATTAAGTTGCTTCTGATCTGATGGTTGCAGGAGTAATACTGTCAAGCTGCTTCACTTGTCTCGTCTAATTCCTCGGATCCTACGTGTGAAACACTCACACGCTAAGTCATCGACTTAGTGAGGCAATAATAATAACAAGGAAATGTAATGTAATGAAAATATCAGGATCATATGAGATGAGATGCAAACATGTACTTAATCAATGTAGTATACTTCATCAATATCCATACATGTAAGCGTATGACTGTAACATTCATGAATCTGTATTAATAAGTTTATTGGCCCATGGTATCGTATTGAGAACCTAAGGTATCGGAGTAATGTGAGGTTGTGCACTATGTTGTCACCACAGCTCGTATAAATGCACCGAAGTGCCCCGTAGAATTGCACCGTAGTGCCATATAATAATGTCCATAAGGACCACATAGAATTCCTTAAGAATCATATACATATACTATGGATCAAGTATGTGTCTTTCAAGACTTCACACAGGTTCCAAAGGATATACATATGTCCTAAAGAACCGCGTAGAATTGCACCGTAATGCCATATAATAATGTCCATAAGGACCACATAGAATTCCTTAAGAATCATATACATATACTATGGATCAAGTATGTGTCTTTCAAGACTTCACACAGGTTCCAAAGGATATACATATGTCCTAAAGAACCGCGTAGACCCTCTACCCTTGGCATGCCAACTATACCTATAGTTCTCATCTACATAACATGGGCTTTTACATTTCACGTAGTCTATATCGCGTAGACATGAAATTTCTTACCTTTTCACATAGCTCATAATTTTTCCCACATATTCAGTCATATAATGCATTTTATATGGACTCATGTCATGTCTCATAATACAGAATATGCTCATGTATCAAGATATGAAATCTAGACTTATCACAAGTCTAGAATGCAGGATATTTCTATAATCATGCTATGCATATGCACTCACTATACTTCTTTGCCTTTTCCTCGATCGATCCTACTTGTAGATTGTTCCCGAACTCGAGTAGGCTCGGTATCTACATAAACATAATTTTCAAGATGATCATCAGATGTCTATGTCTTGAAATTAAGCTTTAATAGCTTATTAATTTAAGAAATTAATAGCTTAGTCTTTCTTCTTTTCTTCTCTTTTTTTTCTCATAGGGGAATCGGTTCCCCCCCTTGGGGGTATCGGTTCCCCTCTAGCATTCTGGAATTTCATATCCGTTGAGGCGGTATCGGTTCCCCCCTGGGGGTATCGATTCCCCTCTAGTATTCTGGAAATTCATATCCGTTGAGGGGGTATCGGTTCCCCTTGAATGGGTACCGATTCCCCTAACTCAGAAATCCTATTTTGAGCTCGGAAATCATCCCATTTCAGCTCAAACATACATATTTCACTCTCTTTACTACTCTTAGCTTTCATACACTTACTTTAACTAATTATTATCCATTAAATACCTCTAAAACCTATAAATCTAATTCTCCATGTAGAATTTAAGAATCCAACCCAAATTCCAATATGTTCTAATTTGAATTCTAACACCTCATACTTCTTAGTTAGCTTCTTGACAAGTCAAAAATCTTATTCAAACTTCAAAAACTCATTCCTATCAAAATTTCATCTAAAAATTCATTTTCCAAATCTATCTCTAAAACACTTATCTTGTTGTTTTAATGTCCTATAAGCTTTCCT